GAGGGAACACTTATACACGTACTAATGAGGGGATATGAACCAGGTGTGTGTAATAGACAAGACAAAACAAATGGAATGATGAGAATGTGATGCGGCAGTGGCTAGAAGGCCGGTGACGACGAACGCCGAAGCCTGCCCGAACAAGGAGAGGAGGCAGCTTTGGAGGAAGTCGTGACAGCAGCGATGGGACAAGACTGTAACTACCAATTGGATATCACGAAATTGGGGAGAAAAAGGGGTAAAAGTACAATAATAATAATAATAATAATAATTAGTGATAATCATATCAGATCTGACCCAGACCCGTGCCATCTGGATCTGGCCTTGGGTATTCGGGTACAGGTGGATCCATGAAGACCTCTAATGTTTCTAGCAGTGGAAAGGTTTAATATTACTCGATACCTCAAAATGTAATATTATTACTCTAATGCGTTACCTCCAACACTGAAAATAAAGCATTCCATTCTATTATATTCTGTTCCATTCTATTCTGTTTTATTCTGTTCTATTCTATTATAAAATGTAAAGTCCCCGTCTGTCCCTGCAGTTCCAGAGGATGTGTCCCCTCCCAGTGCTGTGTCGACCCCCTCCTCTCTGGCTGTGTCCTGGGGTCCCCCTGCCAGACCCAATGGCCTCATCACTGACTACCTGCTATACCACAATGGACAACTACTCTACCAAGGGAACAACACACACCTCAATATCACTGGTGAGAGGAGAGAACGACAGAGGAGAGAGAGAGAGAGAGAGAGAGAGAGAGAGAGAGGAGAGAGAGAAGCAAGAGAGAGAGGTGTGAGGGAGTGAGAACAAGGTTGGGGGGGGGGGGGTGGGGTGGGAGAGGAGGGGAGGGGGGGGGGGGAAAAGGGAGAGAGAGAAAGAGAAAGGGGAGCGAAGAGTAGAGGAGAAAGAGAAGGAGGTGGGGTGTTGTGTGTGGGGTTTTTTGGTTTTGGATATTTCCCCGCCCGCTTCCCTTTTATGCAGGGAGAGGGTACTAAAAAGGGAAGAGTGAAAAAAAAACTAAATGAAAAAAGGGGGTTCATTTGAAAAAGAGGGTTTTTTTCCCCTTCCGGGGATAACACCCATTACACAAACCACCCCCCTCTTCTTTCTTCTCTCCTCCCTCTCTTTGTTGGGTTTTTTCTCCCCTCTCCTCTTTTTCCCACCCCCCTTGTTTTTTTTCTGTTGGGGTCCTTTCCTTTTTAAACCCTGGTCTTCTTTCTAATTTAAAAAATTGGATTGGAGTGGGTTAATTCGTTTAAAATGGGTTTGTAATGGGACAGGGGAAGGTACAAATTGGGTTTGTTCCCGAAAATTAAAAGTTTAAATTATGGGTTAGTGTTGGAAAAGAATGGGTAAGCCTTACCGACGGCGTGAAAAGGGTAAACCCTTTCCTAAACGTTTCCCTTTCTAAAAAAAGGGGTTGAAAAATTTGCAAAAAAAAAATTAAAATCACCAAAAAAAGTAAGTAAATAAGGGAAAAGCCCCCTTTTGGGGGGGGAAAAGTTTTCCCCCAAATTTCTTTTTTTTAAAAAACCCCCCTCTCTTTTCCCCGCCCCAAAAAAAACCCCCCCCCCTCTCCTCTTTTTCCCCCCCCCCCTTTTTTTTTGTGTGGGGGTTATGTGGGGGTTTGGGGGCAGACATTGGCCCCGGGGGTTTTTGGACCCCCCCACCCCCCCCTTTTTTTTTTAAAAAAAAAAAATTGCCAATCCTGCTCTCTCTCTCATCTCATCTCCTCTCACACACATCACACAAGTGAGTTGGCGTAGATCCCCGTCCCTTCGTCGATCTCTACGTTTCAGGTCATCACCCACTCGGTCACATCCCCCCAGTGTCTGGGCTCTCTCTCTCTCTCTCTCTCTCTCTCTCTATCTCACACACACACACACATTGAGTTGGTAGTGTGTGTGATGTGCTGTTAATAGTGAGTGGTAATAGCGGAGCATGGTATTATCAGTAATGTGGTAATACAGTGTGTCTGATGTTCATAGTGATTATGAGGATTATGAGTGTGGTAATGATATGGGCTTAATGCCATTACAGATACAGTGCTGTATTACGGTCACCTCCTACACAGTATCCCTACTCTGGAGAAGGACAAAAGGCTGTATAGGCAATACAAATGTATGTACTAAAAGAAAATTAAACACTTCACCTATACTTAATGTAATTGTAGATACAATTCGCTGTATGTCAGTAGTCTGTCCAGGGTTTAGGAGGGAAGGAGAGATTTAAGCATGTTTCACACCAGATTTAGGATCTGTTTTATGGTAGATTTAACTATGAAGTAAGTCTACTCCAGCCCCATCCTCTCTTCCCCTATAGTTCTCTTCCTCTCATTCCTTCCATCTCTTACCCCACCCTCTCCTCTCTCCTCTCTCCTCTCTCCTCTCTCCTCTCTCCTCTCTCCTCTCTCCTCTCTCCTCTCTCCTCTGTGTGTGTGTGTATGTGTGTGTGTGTGTTGGCAGAGCATTGCCGTGGACCCCCTGCTGAGAGTTTGGATTCTCTGGCATTCTCTTCTCCATTCTCATTTTCTTCTCTCTCTGCTCTCTCCCCTTCCTCCTTTCACTCTCCTCCTCTCTTCCTTCTTTCCTTCCTCTCTTTCCCTTCTGTGCCCAATTCTCTACCCTTTCTTTCTCCCCCTTCCTCCTCCTTTCTCTCATCTCCTCTCTCTCCCTCCTTCCTCCCTCTGGAAAGTATTTCCTCATCTTCAAGGAGAGAGGCTCCTTCTCTTTGAAACACAGTCAGGCGCCCTGCCGCCTGCCTAACACTACAAATAACCAACAAATCAGCCCACTATGGGCTCGCTGTGTGTGTGTGTGTGTGTGTGTATGTGTGTGGGTGTGTGTGTGTGTGTGTGTGAGTGCGTGCATGTGTGTGTGTGCCCCTGTGTGTGTATGTATACAACCCCTTGTCCTATTCCCTATAGTGGAAATCCTGAAGGGTGGTATAGTGTCTGCGGACTGAAAATATGTATGGATCTGCTTTCTTTTGGACTTCCAGACTATGTTTCTGCCAGCCTGATCACTACAAATAGACATTGATTTTGGACGTTTAAAAAGGTCCTGAAAAAGCTGTGAGAATAGTTGATGATACTTGATGGTATGAGGTCGGTTGATTTGCAGAGCCTTCCCCAAACTACGTTTTGTTTTTTGCCCTAGCACTACACAGCTGATTCAAATGATCAAAGCTTGATGATTAGTTGATTATTTGAATCAGCTGTGTAGTGCTAGGGCAAAAACCAAAACGTGCAACCCCTGGGGTCCCGAGGACCGAGTTTGGGAAACCCTGGCGTATACTGTTAACCTTTGAGTTGTTTCTGTTTTAACCTTGTATTCGTGGAATTAATGAGTCAAAAATAGACGTTCATCCATAATACATTGAATTTCGAAGGGAAGCTATGAGATATTGTTGGTTTCTGTATGAACCATTCTGAAGCATCTGTTAAAAATGTATGTGTGTTGCAGGTTTAGGTGTGTATTCTCCCCATGTGTTCGTGCTGAGTGTGTGTACGGCGGTGGGCTGCTCTAACAGCTCCCAGGTCACCCAGCTCACCTCCCAGCAGCCACCTGGAGACATGCAGCCTCCCATCCTCACCGTGCTAGACTCCCGCACCGTCTACATACAGTAAGTACACACACACCCCTACTGAGTAGTACACACACACACACACACACCTCTACAAATCAAATCAAAGTTTATTTGTCGCGTACACAGATTTGCAGATGTTATCGCAGGTGCAGTGAAATGCTTGTGTTTCTAGTTCCAACAGTGCAGCAATATAGAAATTAAGAAATATCAGAACGAGCAATGTCAGAGACCGGAAATAAAACAAAATATATATATATAGATATAATGGTGTGTAAAGACGGTACGGACAGTATATTAATAGAAAAGGTGTGTACAGCAGTAGTTAAATAGGAGGAGCCATGACTAGAATACATAAACACATCTACTGAGGAGTCAAATCAAAATCAAATCAACTTTTATTTGTCACAAGCGCCAAATACAACAAGTGTAGACTTTACAGTTAAATGCTTACTTACGAGCCCTTTCCCAACAATGGTAGGGGTTGAAAAGCAGACACACACACACTCACGTGCACACACACGTGTATATATTACACACATACACATAAATATAACTGCACCACCTATGTTACTACATAATAGTAAAATAAAATAAAACTTGGATACATTCAGTAAGTATCTTGAATGTCTATGATCCTCAAAGTGGAGATGTTGTTTATAGATTCTGTATAGGATTAGGTGTGTAACTGCTCCATACACACCACTGAGGTACAGCATATGGATGTGTGTGTGTGTATCTCTGAGCAGGGTAATATAGTCATAAACAACTCTCTGTGTCATTGAATATGACACCTTTAGAAAGGCTGTGGACTTATAGGTAGATAGATAGCTTCAGACTGCATGGCATTGACTGTCCTCCAACACTGGAGAAAGGAGAGAGAGAGAGAGAGAGAGAGAGAGAGAGAGAGAGAGAGAGAGAGAGAGAGAGAGAGAGAGAGAGAGGAGAGAGAGATAGAGAGAGAGAGAGAGAGAGAGAGAGAGGAGAGAGGAGAGACCGAGAGAGAGAGAGTGACACCGAGCGAGAGCGAGAGAAATTGAAAGTTATTGAGAGCGGGGAGGTAGAGGGGGAAAGAAAAAAGGGAGGGGGAACTGAGAGAATGGAGAAAGGGATGAAACTGACCGGAGAGAGAGATGGACTATAGAGAGAACACAATGATAATAGAAGTAGGAGAAGAGGGAGGGATACTGAGAGAATGAAAGTGGTAAATAGGGTGTGTTTGTGGGTGTGTTTGTGAGTATGTGTGTGTCGGGGTGGCGGGAGTCGGCTTTCTGAATGAAAATTCAGAGGGTGAACTTCTGAAGTCCTGTTTAGTACGCAGAATATTCTCCTGCACTTGACCTCTCACCTACAGACAGAGAGAGAGAGAGAGAGAGAGAGAGAGAGAGAGAGACAGAGAGTGGAACTGTATCTGTATGAGTCTCTGTATCATAGGGTGTGTGTGTGTGTGTGTGTGTGTGTGTGTGTGTGTGTGTGTGTGTGTGTGTGTGTGTGTGTGTGTGCCATTAGAGCCCCTGACCACCATCACTTAAGACCCACAGCAGGAGGGCAGCACGCCACACACACACACCAGAGAGAGGGTGGAGTAGAAAGCAGGAGAGGGTGAATGAATAAGTCAGAATAAAGAAAAGTGAATGCAGACAGTGTGTCGGAGGGAGAGTGAGGCCAGCAGGTTAGGTTGAGATGCACTGATCTCTCTTTCAGGGAAATGTCAGCACTTTACCTATGATCACACAAGGTAAATGGTAGGGGTGTGAACGTTAAAACGTTTACACGAAACTGGGATCCTTAACATTAAAATCAAAGTGCAGTTATCACAAAACATATTATTTTCCGTGTCATAGCCTAACTAGACGATAGGCTATAAAGGCCTGGGAATTTAAATTGATTAAATTAAGATTTTGTGTCACTGGCCTACACGCAATACCCCATAATGTCTAATTATTTTAAAAAATGTAAAGCTGAAATGTCTTGAGTCAATAAGTATTCAACCCCTTTGTTATGGCAAGATTAAATACGTTTAGGAATAAAAATGTGCTTAACAAGTCACATAATAAGTTGCATGGACTCACTCTGGGTGCAATAATAGTGTTTAACATGATTTTTGAATGACTACCTCATCTCTGTATCCACACATACAATTATCTGTAAGGATCTCAGTCGAGCAGTGAATTTCAACTACTGGTTCAACCACAAAGACCAGGGAGGTTTTCCAATGCCTCACAAAGAAGGGAACCTATTGGTAGATAAAAATAAATAAAATACATTGAATATCCCTTTGAGCATGGTGAAGTTATTAATTACATTTTGGATGGTGTATCAATACACCCAGTCACTACAAAGATACAGGCGTCCTTCCTAACTCAGTTGCCAGAGAGGAAGGAAACTGCTCAGGGATTTCACCATGAGGCCAATGGTGAATTACAGAGTTTAATGGCTGTGATAGGAGAAAACTGAGAATGGATCAACAACATTGTAATACTCCACAATACTAACCTAATTGACAGAGTGAAAAGAAGGAAGCCTTTACAAAATATAAATATTCCAAAACATGCATCCTGTTTGCAACAAGGCACTAAAGTAATAGTGCAAAAAAATGTGGCAAAGCAATTAACTCTTTTGTCCTGAATACAATGTGTTATGTTTGGGGTAAATCCAATACAACACATTACGGAGTACCACTCTCCATATTTTTAAGCATAGTGGTGGCTGCATCATGTTATTTGTATGCTTGTAATCGTTCAGGACTGGGGAGTTTTTCAGGATAAAAAAGAAACGGAATGGAGCTAAGCACAGGCATAATCCAAGAGGAAAACCTGGTTCACTCTGTTTTCCACCAGACACTGGGAGATGAATTCACCTTTCAGCAGGACAATAACCTACAACGCAAGGCCAAATATACGCTGAGTTGCTTACCAAGAAGACAGTGAATGTTCCTGAGTGGCCGAGTTACAGTTTTGACTTAAATCTGCTTGAAAATCTATCTATGGCAAGACTTGAAAATGGTTGTCTAGCAATGATCAACAGCCAATTTGACAGAGCTTGAAGTATTTTGAAAAGAATAATGGCCAAATATTGTACAATCCAGGTGTGCAAAGCTCTTAGAGACTTACCCAGAAAGACTCGCAACTGTAATCGCTGCCAAAGGTGATTCTAACATGTATTGACTCAGGGATGTGAATACTTAAGTAAATTAGTTTTTTCTGTATTTTATTTTCAATCAATTTTCAAAAATGCCTAAAAACATGTTTTCACTTTGTATTGATGGGTTATTGCGTGTAGATGGGTGAGATGTTTTACTTATTTAATACATTTTTAATTCAGGCTGTAACACAAAATGTGGAATAAGTCAATGGGTATGAATACTTTCTGAAGGCACTGTATGTGCACCACGGTTCTTTCTGCATGCCCCCTTCTCTCTCTCCCTCGCGCTGGCAGGATCACATTAGTGGAAACCAAGACAGTTCTCAGGGCAGGCCTGGTTGTCGAGTCGTTTGGGACAATTTTAGCTAGCCTCAACCCTTTCCTCACCTTAACCGAATTCTCCTAACCTGCCACGTTAATTCTCCTAACCTGTTGTGTAAGTTCTCCTAACCTGCTACGAAAAGTAACTTCTGTTAGTCAAAACCGGCAGACCTGCCCTGAAAATAGTATTGGTTTCCACTAGAGCCATACAGCCTCGCGATGGCTCTTTCTCTTCACTAATGGTGCAAGTGTGTGTTTAGTCTTCAGTATTTTGCGTGTAGAATACCCTAGCCTATTCATTGATTATAGGCACTGCTTTACTGAAGTTGCGAGACATTGCAAGCCAATAGATTGTGAGATACAGCATTCCATTGCAAGATACAGCTTTTGATTGCTGATAGATAGGCCTAGTGTGCGGTTATGACGCTGTCTGCCTGGTGGCCGACCTGCCTATACTGTGTCCCTCCCCTCTCTCTCCGTCCCTCCCTCGCTAGCTTGCTATGAAAGATGTAAGTGTTCGTGTTGTCGGAAGTATGACAACTAATCAGTCTCCGCCATTCCAACACTAATGAATCTTAGGAGTTGATTTCTAGGGGAATCGAATCTTGACATTCAGAAGTCAAGGAATCAATTATTTTGGAGTCGACTCTCCACCACTACGTCATCGCCGTTAACAGTTGGAAAAATGGCAGAGAAAGGCAAGCGACAGCAGCGAAGTCAATGCTTTGAGATGTTAAATGAGAAGCAAATGCAAACTCTGCGAGTTAGAATTGTGGTACAGTAATGGTAGTACAGGTGCAATGCTTAACCATCTGAAAGGGACATACCGTGAGACCCACACCGTTGCTAGCAGCAGCAGCACAGCTGCATTGTGAATTCGCGTGGTATTTTATTAATTCTTCTTATCGTTTTAATGGAAAACAGAATAAAAAATTGCTGTTTAAACGTTAAGAAATGTTTTCCATTTGTCACATCCCTAGTAAACGGACAAGGAGAATACATAGAGGAGATAGGAGTACACGGACCCACACACACACAAAGCGAGAGATATTTATTTTTAGAAAAGGGAGACTGGTGAGAGAAAGAAGTGATGACAGGAAGAAATGGAGAGAGAATAGAGAGAGAAAAAAGAAAAAGAGGAGCTTTGCTGTAATTTGACATTAAAGATTATATCTCTCTTTCTCTGTTTCTCTCCTTTGATGCTGCAGCTGTGGCCTGTGAGCTGAGAGGTATTGCCTTGTTAGCAGAATCCTAATAGACGAGGTGGAGGGATCATACGTGTTCAATATTCTTTTGTTGTGTTGCAATCTGCCTGTGAGAAAGGTTGAGAGGCCTGCCTGCTGGATATGCACAAAACAATATCAGCAGAAACACATTCTCCTCTACCCCCCCCCCCCCCGCCCTCGCTTGGCCAACACACACGCACCTACACAGGCGAGCACGCACACGTTTCTGTCCAACACACGCTTACAGTACACACACTACACTCATCAGATTTAGTGTTTCCAATGTTGAAATCTCAATTTGTTACTCTTCGAAATTAATACATACTATAGCTTTTAATAGGTGTCAATTTCACATTTATATTAGCCTATATAATGTGTTTGCTCTGTATTTTCTTGTGAGTTGTTTCTAAACAGCCTTATTTTGAAATAAATTATAAAATCACTGTATAAAAACTCCTCTCTGGTTTCACTTCTGGTTTCACTACCCACAATGATATAATGAATTACTGCCACTATTGACACAGTATAAATCAGCTGAGTAATGTGATAGATTAGTTAGTCAGGCTAATTGTACAGTAACACACTCATTAGTCATACCAACCACTGGATACATTCATCACTTCTCAAAATGGCTCACATTGAAGGTGTGACTGGTGGTCCTAGGGGGGGCGAGGTCTCTCCTGAGCCCTGGGCCAATTAGAAAAATTAGTGGTCCTAAGGAGTGGTGCCTATTGGGTCTTAGGCCAATTAGAATTGAAAGTGCTCCTAACGGAGTGGCCTTCTATGGGGGTGTGGGCCAATTAGAACAAGAACACATAAATGCCTGTAATGTTTGGGAAATTAATTATTGTTAATAACAAAGAAAAATATATGTGTCCGGTTTGGTACGTGTATTGTGTATGGTGTTTTGGTGTTGAGTTGGTGTAGTTTCTTATGGGGTAAGGTTTCACTGGAGTTTTGTTGTGGTTTTAAGTCAGTTAAGATGTCTCAATAAAGAGCATCACAAGTCAAGTCTCTCTCTCTCCCTCCCTTGTTCCCTCTCTCTCTCTCTCTCTCTCTCTCTCTCTCTCCCCCTCCCTCCTTCCCTCTCTCTCTCTCTCTCTCTCTCTTTTCCTCTCCCCCACTCTCTCGCTCTTTCCATAAAAACCACAAGAAAATGTTTGTAAAGTCTAGAGAACGTTCTAAGAATGTTATTTAAAACATGCATTCCGTTCTCAGACTGTGAAGAAAACTTTCCACATTCAGAGAATGTTCAAAAAATGTAATTTAAAAACATATACACTAACGGTCAAAAAGTTTTAGAACACATCAATATGTCCAGTTTTTATTTAAATTCACACAGTTTAATGTATTAATGTACTCTGAAATTAAAGCATAGAACAAATAAACAATTGGAGGCAAAAAATAAGTAATGGAATCGTTTTGTTTAACAACATTTAATCTACATTTTTGACTCATCAAAGTAGCCACCTTTTGCAGACATAACAGCCGAACACACTCGTGGCATTCTTTCTACGATAGAAATCAAATATTGTTCGGAAAGTTCTTCCCAACACTGTTGCAGAAGTTCCCACAAATGTTTTACACTTGTAGGTTACTTTGCTTTCACCCTTCTGCCCAGTTCATCCCAAACCAGCTGGATGGGGTTTAAGTCTGGAGACTGTTCTGGCCATTCCATGATTTGAAGCCTACCGTATTGTTATTTTCTTCTAAGGTAGTTCTGACAGCCTGGAGGTATGTTTTGGGTCATTATCTTGCTGTAGGATGAACCCCTGACCAACTAGACGTATTGCGTGCCGCTGCAAAATGCTGTGGTAGCCGTTTTACTTGTTCCCTGAAAAATGCCTTTTTTATAACTCTGAAATGTACATTATTTTTCCGTTTTTGGTAGGTAACCACTTTTTTTTTTTTTTACCTCTGGCAGTTTACCGCATACCTTTATACCATTTCAGGTTATTCACTGGACTTGAACTGCTTAAATTTCAATAAAAACTGGAAAAATGGGGGTGTTCTAAAACGTTTGACTGGTAGTGTACAGTGGGGAAAAAAAATATTTTGTCAGCCACCAATTATGCAAGTTCTCCCACTTAAAAAGATGAGAGAGGCCTGTAATTTTCATCATAGGTACACATCAACTATGACAGACAAAATGAGAAATGGTGGAAAATAAGTATTTGGTCAATAACAAAAGTTTCTCAATACTTTGTTATATACCCTTTGTTGGCAATGACACAGGTCAAACGTTTTCTGTAAGTCTTCACAAGGTTTTCACACACTGTTGCTGGTATTTTGGCCCATTCCTCCATGCAGATCTCCTCTAGAGCAGTGATGTTTTGGGGCTGTCGCTGGGCAACACAGACTTTCAACTCCCTCCAAAGATTTTCTATGGGGTTGAGATCTGGAGACTGGCTAGGCCACTCCAGGACCTTGAAATGCTTCTTACGAAGCCACTCCTTCGTTGCCCGGGCGGTGTGTTTGGGATCATTGTCATGCTGAAAGACCCAGCCACGTTTCATCTTCAATGCCCTTGCTGATGGAAGGAGGTTTTCACTCAAAATCTCACGATACATGGCCCCATTCATTCTTTCCTTTACACGGATCAGTCGTCCTGGTCCCTTTGCAGAAAAACAGCCCCAAAGCATGATGTTTCCACCCCCATGCTTCACAGTAGGTATGGTGTTCTTTGGATGCAACTCAGCATTCTTTGTCCTCCAAACACGACGAGTTGAGTTTTTACCAAAAAGTTATATTTTGGTTTCATCTGACTATATGACATTCTCCCAATCCTCTTCTGGATCATCCAAATGCACTCTAGCAAACTTCAGACGGGCCTGGACATGTACTGGCTTAAGCAGGGGGACACGTCTGGCACTGCAGGATTTGAGTCCCTGGCGGCGTAGTGTGTTACTGATGGTAGGCTTTGTTACTTTGGTCCCAGCTCTCTGCAGGTCATTCACTAGGTCCCCCCGTGTGGTTCTGGGATTTTTGCTCACCGTTCTTGTGATCATTTTGACCCCACGGGGTGAGATCTTGCTTGGAGCCCCAGATCGAGGGAGATTATCAGTGGTCTTGTATGTCTTCCATTTCCTAATAATTGCTCCCACAGTTGATTTCTTCAAACCAAGCTGCTTACCTATTGCAGATTCAGTCTTCCCAGCCTGGTGCAGGTCTACAATTTTGTTTCTGGTGTCCTTTGACAGCTCTTTGGTCTTGGCCATAGTGGAGTTTGGAGTGTGACTGTTTGAGGTTGTGGACATGTGTCTTTTATACTGATAACAAGTTCAAACAGGTGCCATTAATACAGGTAACGAGTGGAGGACAGAGGAGCCTCTTAAAGGAGAAGTTACAGGTCTGTGAGAGCCAGAAATCTTGCTTGTTTGTAGTTGACCAAATACTTATTTTCCACCATAATTTGCAAATAAATTCATTAAAAATCCTACAATGTGATTTTCTGGATAAAAAAATTCTCAATTTGTCTGTCATAGTTGGCGTGTACCTATGATGAAAATTACAGGCCTCTCTCATCTTTTTAAGTGGGTTGCTGACTAAATACTTTTTTCCCCCACTGTATATATACATTACATTCTCAGCATCAACAAAACCCTCTATCTTGTTAAGTGTGTTCAGTTGTGTTGGCTGCGCCCACTAATTGGCCACACCTGATCTTAATGAGTGCTTCTTTAATTTAAAATTGGGTCTGTTTGAAAATACTAAAATGAACAGCTTTGTATACATAAAAAATGTGGCATGCTATCTCCATCCTGGTGTCGCAGTGGATTAATTCCATGGATAGAAAACTGAAAGTTATAGGTTTGAATCTCACTGATGCTGTGTCACAAAAAACAATTATGTGTTTGCATGATCAATGCCTAAGGAACATCATTTCCATGTGTCCTATCTGTGCTTGTAGTAAAAAAAAAGGTTTGCCCAAAATAATCTAGCAGTGTTATTAAAATTCTTATTGAAACATTCAGGGAAAGTTTTAAGGAACCAGAATAAAACGTTCTCAGAACCTCCCTGCAACCTAAAAATAAACGTTCCCAGAATAGACAAAATGTTCACTTCTATTCTCAGTTTTACCAGTCAAGACATGTATGGCTTCGTTCCCACAACCAATGTGAAACCAAAAACATATGTCCACCCAACTTCCAAGGAACCAAATGTGCTAGCTGGGTAAACCATGGAAAGTCAACCCCAGCAGAGTATGTGTGTGTTTTCGTCTGGCCTGATAAAGACTGTCTGAAGAGCCAGGGGGTCTCTGCCACACCCACACACACACACACACAATGTGGCAGCATAGTGGTCGGGGAAATGGACCAGTAAAAAGGAGGTATGTGGAACTTACTCAGGCCTCGATGAAAGTCCTGCTATATTAAGAGAATACATACTGTATATATTGATACGCTCTCCCTCTCTCTCTCTCTCTCTTCCTCTCCCTCCCTCTCCTTTCCCCTCCCTCCTTCCTTCCCTCCCTCCCTCCCTCTATCTTTCTTTCTTTCCCTCCCTCCCTCCCTCCCTCCCTCCCTCTCCCTTTCCTCCACCCCCGCCCTCCCTCCCTCTCTCTCTCCAGGTGGTCTCGTCCTGAGCAGGTGAATGGTGTGTTAGAGTTCTACAGTGTGTACCTGTCAGTAGAAGGGGAGGAGCCAGTGTGTGTGTATAACAGCTCTGAACTGTTTGAAGACCACACCCTCCGTAACCTGACACCAGGCACCACCTACAGCTTCACTGTATCTGTGAGTACACACATATACACTCTCAGTTAAATATGAGGATTATATTATACTGTATAATGTATTACATTTAATAACAAATTATTAAATATATTAATGTTATTACATTTATACATAACTTTATGCGTTCAAACGAAACACTCATCTTTATTTTGTAAACCTTGTTTCCTGTTTGTGTGCGTGTGCATGTTTATATGTGTGTGTGTGTTTCCCATGTGTTTAGGCGTGTACGGGAGGAGGCTGTTCCGTCAGCCCCCTAGCGAGGCTCACACAGAGGAGACCACCCCTGAAAACATCCCTGCCCCCTACGTCACCCCTCTCTCCCCCCACGCCCTCAACATCACCTGGACACCCCCAGACACACCCAACGGTAAGGAGGTGGGTAGGGGGAGGGGGTATGATGAGGTCAAAGGGGGGAAGAGGGGGGTGATGTGGGAATGAGGAACAATTGATAATTGGTTAGCGTGACAGAGGAAAATATATTAATTGTTTACCATTGGCTGTATAAATTCATATTATATATACTAGATATACTAGACATGGTACCCAACCCTGTTCCTGGAGAGCTACCCTCCTGTAGGTTTTCACTCCAACCCTAATCTAGCAGACCTGATTTTAGTAATCAGCTGGCTGAATCAGGTGAGTTACAACTGGGGTTGGAGTAAAAACCTACAGGAGGGTAGTTCTCCAGGAACAGGGTTGGAGAGCCCTGGTATCTATAGTACATACCATATGTACTACATACTAGACACTTGATTCCAAACTAGTTGGTCAATTAAAGGATCATAGGTGGAGGGGGAGGTTGGGCAGGGATGACATACTGAGGTACACACGCTTTGTATTTGTACACTCACCTCCAGCTCCACCTATGACAGTGACATTTTTACAAAAATGGGAGATGTTTACCAAAATTGAGGGATGCTAGTCACACATCACAAATATGTTCTGGAATACTGCACACGTCACAGACACTTTTAGATAAGTGATTGTAAAAGTATTGTGAATATGGAGGGAGAGAGAGAGAGAGAGAAAGGGAGAGAGACAGAGTGAGAGAGAGACAGAGAGAGAGAGGGGGGGGGGAGAGAGAGAGAGAGAGGGGGGGAAAGAGCGAGAGAGAGCGTTGGTAAGAGCTTTCTGCTTCTTTAAGTGGATGGCAAGTGCTCTCTTTTGACTGAAGCTGGGAACTGCAGGCTGGGAACACAGAGGAGAGAGCTGCCTATCTCATACACACACACACACATAAAAAGCACGTACACAATCAGACATTATTCGTTTCGTAATGTTCACTTTGTTTTATATGATGTATTATAACAGCTGTAAACATAGCTCAAGTACAAACGCTGACTATCTGTTATTTAGTAGATGCACTTATCAGAACAATGTATGGTAAGTGTATACAACAAAGAGGACAGGATGTCTTAAAAAACAACCATCACATGTAAACCTCCTCTGAGTTAGATATGAAATGTAGTTGTTGGTATCATAGAGACTATAAGAGGAATGCCATCTGTAGCAACACATTTGTTGTCAGGGGATGCTCAAAGACAGCGCAACGATGTCTGTAAACTATGTGCAGTCACATTATGGTTTGGTACATGCTTTTAGGAGAAAACACACAGCTAAAAATGAGACTTAATTTGCTCTTGTCAAAATTGTATGGTAATCAATACTCTTATTTCCAAAATAAAATATGTTCGCTTTCTGTGCTGAAAATGTTGATATCTAACAAACGTATACGTTGTTTTATTCAAACACTTTAATTGCATGTGTCTGCCAAACAAATAAATATATGCATATTTTTATCAAAGATCACACTAGTTTCTGTAACCTTCCCATCAGGGTTGAGCTCAATTCAGAATTTTGAAATTGACTCCCATTCAACTCATGAGTTGAAATTCAAATTGAATTGGCCAGAGGATGTAGAATTAAAATTTGAGTTTGAGTGACAGGAAGTAGAATTTAATTCAGTCAAATTTTTTAGAAATTCCTCTCATAGAACATAAGAGTTTCATTGAATCTGACAGGTCACACTTCCAGATACCAAATAATATATAACTTTTCTCTGGAAACAATATTCATATACTCTTTTAACCTTAGTGCTTAGAATAGCCAATTATATTTTCTCAACAAGGCTGTAACGTAACAAAATGTGGAAAAAGGGAAGGGATCTGAATACTTTCCGAATGCACTGTATATTTGTATAGACTACACCTACAGTAATATAGAACAGAAAAGGTATTTGAATTTCACTGAATTCAATTCTATTTCCTTTCATTCAAATTCTAATTGCAATTCTGTATCCTGTTTAACCCTTTACACTCGTGGGAATTGGCCTATATAGATAGGGCTAAATGTAAATGTTTCTTACAGAAGAAATATGAAAAGCATATGCACAACCGTGGTAGTAATTGAAAGGGAACAGTTTGGAGATTATGGGACAATTATTAGAACAAAGGTCAGGACACAACAGTTCACCTGACACAAGACTGAATCCAAACATTACACTGTTGATTTTATGTGCATTTGACACACATATTCTCTGGATATTTTGTATACCTTTTAGCTAGTAGTTCAGAAAGTAGCGCTCACGAGACAAAAGTGGTCCCCAAAAATGGTGTACTACATCACATATGTGCAGATACTGTATGTGCACCACGTCGTGGTCTCTCTCTGTCACTCAAATGGCAAGGGGCTGTAGTTCGTTGGCTGGAACTCTAATTGCTAGGGGGCACGTGGGGGAAAATTTAGGGAAAATGGGACTGCACAGCTTCCAGTAAACAGTCGCTTTCAAACTAGGGATTTCGTGGCTAATTGAGTTAAGACAGTAATTCTGCTCATAGATTATGCATGTATGAACTACACATTGACACATCCAGCCCAAAGTGGGGGGTTTTAAAAATACTTAGTAGTCGCCAAAGTTAGAATGCACAGTTTCACATGTTCAGTGTGTGTGTATAGTGTGTGTACGATGTGTAAAGCATGTGTGTGTGTGTGTGTTGTGAAAGATGTGTGTATAATACATAGTGTGTATAATATAGTGTGTGTGCATTTGGCTCCATAAACCCTAAACTCCTATTAGACGTGATAAATTACAGCATTGCTAATCTGACAGCCATTTAATTTGAAAAAAACTTTAATCACAATTACCCGATTATCTCGCACTTAAAACGCCTTCCAAATACTTTAATTCTTCATAAAGAATGCTTTGTATTTTTCGTCTGGCTGCTTGTAATGTGGAGTCAATACGGACCCCATATGATTTGCTTGGTTCCACACTACTAGAAGTCTGGAGGAGTTTTTCACAATTTTCCTAGGGATTTGTTGGCTAATCCCGCTGGAGATTAAAGTGTGGGAAACATGGAGACAAGCTGGAGAATAAACCTGTTATGCATTAGGCTTCATATCAACCTGGGCTTATTACAACACTCTCACAGCCACCGATTCACTGGCTCTGCTGCCCAAATGGTAACCTATTCCCTATGGAGCTATGGAGCCCTATGGGGCTCTGGTCAAAAGTAGTGCACTAATTAGGGAATAGGAAGGCATTTGGGATGCACACCAGCTGACTATGGGACATATTAAGTGTGGAGATGTATTACTGTCTGCTTTGTGTCTTCATTTCTTTACACAGACGTGAAATGGTTTTCTCTGGGCAGACGCATAATTAAAACAGAAAAGGTTCTTACCACAAACATGATCTTTTGAGCCCCGTATGGAGGGAAAAGAGACATGCTGTTTCCTTATGTGCCTGTAATAATGTTAGGATAATTCCTTGTGATTTCGTTTACTGACAGGGTGTGTGTGTGTGTGTGTGTGTCCCTTGCATGTGTGTGTGTGTGTCCTTGTGTCCCTGCATGTGTGTGTGTGTGTGTCCTTGTCTGTGTGTCCTTGCATGTGTGTGTGTGTGTTCCTCTCCTCTAGGAGTGATCAGCAGCTATGGAGTGTGGATGAACGGTGTGCTGGTCCAGAACTCTTCCTCCCTGTGGTTCTCTGTTGACCACCTGTCTCCCTGGAGTCTACACAGCTTTAGAGTACAGGCCTGCACCTCACAGGGCTGTGCCCTGGGACCACTGGTGAGTCACACACACACACTCACACACCCATACAAACACACACACACACACACACATGATTACACATACACACACATTCACTGTCACGCACACCCACTTATTTTTATTAAATTATTTTAATAAAAGCCGCTCAACAACTACATCACATAAGTCATCTAACAGACTCCCATCCAGAGCGACACACAGAAGCAACCAGGTTCAACACACACTTACATGTAGTGTTTATGCGCTAAGCCTTTAGTTGCATACTCACATTTGCATTATGATAATGCTGCTGACGTGTGTGTGTGTGTGTGTGTGTGTGTGTGTGTGTGTGTGTGTGTGTGTGTGTCAGCTGGCAGGCGTTATAAAGGTGATCGATTCTAGAGTTCAATAAATGGCCGTCTGGTGACGATGACATTTGGGAGAAATGTCACTCAGGGAGTCAGGGCCTGGGATGGGCTGGGCTCTTCTCCAATATGGCTAAACATATTTAGTGTCATACACAGATCTGCCAACGCAGCACTGCACGGGCTAAGGAGGGGAGGGCAGGGTGAGGTACAGAGGGGAGGGGGCTAGAGGACAATGGAAGATAGCAGGGGCAGGGGAGGTAGAGGGGCAGGGGAGACAGGGAGGGATGCGGGGAGATTTCTGTGAAAGCACTTTTCACATACAATTTGTTTGATTGATTACTGATGATGACGATAATAATGTATCTCTCCATGCGTGTGTGTGTTTGTCCAGGTGGAGAGGCGAACGTTGGAGATGGCCCCAGTAGGTCCCGTGGTGCTGGAGGTTGGTAGTGAAGGACCGACCTCTCTCAGGGCCAAGTGGAGCCAACCAGCCAAACCTAATGGGAACATCACCTATACTCTACTGTACTCACACACAGGTAACACACACACACACACGCATGAACGTACAGACACAAGCAAGCCTGCACACAGACGCACACACACACACGCACTCTACACAAAACTAGGTAACACACACACTTTGCACACTTAATAAATATTTGCTTTAAGGTGATTTCTATAATGAATTGTTATAAAGATTTAATGCCCACTCAACAACAGCCTACTAAGCATGACAGCAATAAAGATTGCATCTCGAAAAGCGACTTAATAACGACAATGAAATTAAGACAGAATGGGCTATTTTGCCTGTTTGTAATTTGCGTGGTGTGTATTGTCAGCGGTATTTGTGATGTAAAAAGTGCTTATTTGATAAAAGTTCTAGACAGGGGTTAAGTGCCACTTCACTCGGTCAGCTTCTGGCCCGGACTCACAGAGTAATCATCATAGACACACGCGCAAGCACACACACACACACACTCTCTCACACACATTCTCTCTCACACACACACTCAATAAAGCAGATATACACTCCTCTACGTATTAATTTGGACAGTGAAGCTAAAACTTTTAATTTGTCTCTATACTCCAGCATTTTAGATTTGAGATCAAATGTTTCATATGAGGCGAAAGTACAGAATGTCACCTTTTATTTGAGGGTATTTTTATACATATGAGCAGTGTTTCTCTGTAACTTTCTCACTCATCATTATTCACGATTCATTCATGATATCCGTAATCATAGTAGCATCCACATTAATGTAGAAGTGTTCTGAAACATATTATATTCTTATTTACAATAAAAGTGACTCCAAAATGACACAATACAATATTTACCATTAATTTCTAATGCATCTAACAAGTTTGTAGAGTCACATGCTTGATGTAGTCATTGCGTGCTAGGAATATGGGATCAAATACTAAACTTTTGACTACTTTAATACACTATAAGTGAATTTGTCCAAATACTTACAGTGCCTTGCAAAAGTATTCAGACCCCTTGGATTTTGTCACATTTTATTGTGTTACAAAGTGGGATAAAAATGTATTGAATTGTCATTTTTTGTCAAATAAATCAAATAAACCTCTGGGATCGATGCAAGTCTATAAAAGAGCTTTGCTCACCTGGATTGTGAAATATTTGCCCGTTATTCTTTTCAGAATTCTTCAAGCTCTGTCGAGATGTAGGGCATCATTGCTAGACAGCCATTTTAAAGTCTTGCCATAGATTTTCATGTAGATTTAAGTTAAAATTGTAACTTGGTACTCAGGAACATTCACTCTCCTTGGTAAGCAACTCCAGTGTAGATTTGGCCTTGTGTAATTTCCTCTCCCAGTCTCTGGTGTAAAGCAGACTGAAGCAGGTTTTCCTCTATGATTGTGCCTGTGCTTAGCTCCATCCCGTTTCTTTTTATCCTGAAAAACTCCACAGTATTTGCCGATGTCAAGCATACCCATACCATGATGCAGCCACCACCATGTTTGAAAATAAGGAGGCAGTTACTCAGTGATGTGTTGTGTTGGATTTGCCCCAAACATAAGGCTTTGCATTTAGGTCATACATTTTTGTTGCATACAAGATGCAAGTTTTCGAATATATTTCTATTTTTCTTTTCACTCTGTCATTTAGGTCATTATTGTGGAGTCACTACAATTTTGTTGATCCATCCTCAGTTTTCTCCTATCACAGCCATTAAACTCTGTAGTGTTGATGTGTAGTTTAATACATCATCCACAGCATAATTAACTTGAAAGCTTCAAGTTCCTCGGCGTACACATCACTGACAATCTGAAACGGTCCACCCACACAGACAGCTATTTGCTGCTGTCAAAGCTATTTGCTGCTCTGGCATCCCAATGGTGGAACAAGCTCCCCCACGACGCCAGGACAGCGGAGTCACTGACCACCTTCCGGAGACACTTGAAACCCTACCTCTTTAAGGAATACCTGGAATAGTATAAAGTAATCATTCTACCCCCCTCCCCCACCCCCCATTTAAAAAAAAGTGGTTGTCCCACTGGCTATCATAAGTTGAATGCACCAATTTGTAAGTCGCTCTGGATAAGAGCGTCTGCTAAATTATGTAAATGTAAATGTAAAATGTAAGAAGGCGCAGCAGCACCTCTTCAAACTCAGGAGGCTGAATAAATTTTGCTTGGCCCCTAAGACCCTCAGAAACTTTTACAAATGCACAATTGAGAGCATCCTGTCGGGCTGTATCACCGCCTGTAACCGCAGGGCTCTCCAGAGGGTGGTACGGTCTGGCCAACGTGTCACCGGGGGCACACTGCCTGCCCTCCAGGAAACCTACAGCACCCGATGTCACAGGAAGGGCAAACAGATCTTCAAGGACATCAACCACCCTGTTCACCCTGCTATCATCCAGAAGGCGAGGTCAGCACAGGTGGATCAAAGCTGGGACCGAGAGACTGAAAAACAGCTTCTATCTCAAGGCCATCAGACTGTTAAATAGCAATCACTAGCCGGCAACCAACAGGCTACTCAACCCTGCACCTTAGAGGCTGCTGCCCTATATACATAGACATGGAATCACTGGCCACTTTAATAATGGAACACTAGTCACTTTAATAATGTTTACATACTGCTTTACTCATCTCATATGTACAGTGCATTCGGAATATATTCAGACTCCTTCACTTTTTCCACATTTTGTTACGTTACAACCTTATTCTAAAATGGATTAAATAAAACATTTTCCTCATCAATCTACACACAATACCCCATAATGGCAAAGCGAAAGCATGTTTTTAGAAATTGTTGCAAAATTTATTAAAAATAAAAACTGAAACATAAGTATTCAGACCCTTTGCCATGAGACTAGAAATTGAGCTCAGGTGTATCCTGTTTCCATTGATCATCCTTGAGATGTTTCTACAACTTGATTGGATTCCACCTGTGGTAAATTCAATTGATTGGACATGATTTGGAAAGGCACACACCTGTCTATATAAGGTCCCACAGTTTAAAGTGCATGTCAGAGCAAAAACCAAGCCATGAGGTCGAAGGAATTGTCCGTAGAGCTCCGAGACAAGATTGTGTCGAGGCACAGATCTGGGGAAGGGTACCAAAAAATTTTGGCAGCATTGAAGGACCCCAAGAACACAGTGGTCTCCATCATTCTTAAATGGAATAAGTTTGGAACCACCAAGACTCTTCCTAGAGCTGGCCACCTAGCCAAACTGAGCAATCGGCGGAGAAGGGCCTTGGTCAGGGAGGTGACCAGGAACCCGAAGGTCACTGTGACAGAGCTCCAGAGTTCCTCTGTGGAGATGGGAGAACCTTCCAGAAGGACAACATCTCTGCGGGACTCCACCAATCAGGCCTTTATGAGTGGCCAGACGGAAGCCACTCCTCAGTAAAAGGCACATGACAGCCCACTTGGAGTTTGCCAAAAGACACCTAAAGGACTCTCAGACCATGAGAAACAAGATTTTCTGGTCTGATGAAACCAAGATTGAACTCTTTGGCCTGAATGCCAAGCGTCACGTCTGGAGGAAACCTTGCACCATCCCTACGGTGAAGCATGGTGGTGGCAGCATCATGCTGTGGGGATGTTTTTCAGTGGCAGGGACTGGGAGACTAGTCAGGATCGAGGGAAAGATGAACGGAGCAAAGTACAGAGAGATCCTTGATGAAAACCTGCTCCAGAGCGCTCAGGACCTCAGACTGGGGTGAAGGTTCACCTTCCAACAGGACAATGACCCTAAGCACACTGCCAAGACAACCAGGAGTGGCTTTGGGACGAATCTCTGAATGTTCTTGAGTGGCCCAGCCAGAGCCCGGACTTGAACCTGATCTAACATCTCTGGAGAGACCTGAAAATAGCTGTGCAGCGACGCCCCCCATCCAACCTGACAGAGCTTGAGAGGATCTGCAGAGAAGAATGGGAGAAACTTCCCAAATACAGGTGTGCCAAGCTTGTAGCGTCATACCCAAGAAGACTCGAGGCTGTAATTGCTGCCAAAGGTGATTCAACAAAGTACTGAGTAAAGGCTCTGAATAATGATATTTCAGTGTTTTATTTTTAATACATTTGAAAAAATGATTAAAACCAGTTTTTGCTTTGTCATTATGGGGTATTGTGTGTAGATTGATGAGGGGGGAAAAAACAATTTAATCAATTTTAGAATAAGGCTGTAACGTACCAAAATGTGGAAAAAGTCCAGAGGTCTGAATACTTTCCAAATGCACTGTATATACTGTATTCTATTCTACTGTATTTAGTCAATCCCACTCCGACATTGCTCGTCCTAATATTTATATATTTCTTAATTCCATGCTTTTACTTTTAGGTTTGTTTTATTGTGAATTGTTATGTACTGCTGCACTGTTGGAGCTAGGAACACAGGCATTTCACTTCACCCGCAATAACATCTGCTAAATATGTGTATGTGACCAAAACAATTTGATTTGATTTGATCATTATTAACTTGACCATGCTTAAAGTCATAATCACTGTCTGGTTTGTTATTGTTACACATCTATCAATCACTGCCCTTCTTTATGAGGCTTTCAAAAAGCTCCCTGAATTTTTGAATCTGTGCTGGAAATTCAATACTTGACTGAGGGAAAGGGGTTCTACTTCATACCTTTCAGACCGTCAGTGCGGTTGAAAGTATGGATATCCCTCGCGCTCCACACACTGTTTCTTATTTCTTCTCGCAAAGTTGGCTTAGCCGTATCGTGCAAATTGATTGCTCCGCTGCTCCCGTTTTTCGGATTGCATCTTCCCAGGTCCCGGTAGGGTAAGCTAAACTCTGTGTGAGTTGTGTGTACTGTCAGTCTGTCACCAACAGCCTGTGACCTGTGGGTCAGAGCGCAAAATTCGCCCTCCAAGGCTCTCCCCTACCTATGCCTTTTATCGGAGGATATTGGGCTTCCTTGTCTTGTGCTGACTTAGCCCACCAGCTAGTGTGTGTGTTGGCCACCGTACTCCGGTGCTAACCTTGTCAAAATATCCTCCACTGCTGTGCTTGTTATCGAGGCCACCGGGCACTAGTCGTCCTTCGACTATTTAAAACTCGAACGGGTCACTTCCGTAGATAACCACGTCTAGGAAGGTTGTTAGCCTAGCCAGCTATAAAATGCTGGTATTACTAGCATGCTACAAACTAGCTAGCTAGCTAGTTTACCAACTCAACCTAGCTGCTACTGTGTGTTGTCAGCTTGGCTTACGTCTTTTGCATAAATAAGCCTATGTTTAAACATGATATCGCTCCTGCTCCAGCCCTGTGGTCAAAGCTAGGCTCACCCAAAACTATTTTGCGGGTGCTGTACAGCTCCCGCCAGATTATTGTAGCTCTCTACCCTTACTGTGTATTGTGGTAGCTGTTGTATGCAGTCTCCGGTTACTATTATATTAGTTAATGTGATGAATTAGTTTATTGCATAAGAAATATTTTATATTTATATTTAATAATTTATTTTCTTCACATTCTGAGCTGAGAGAACACCGGATCACCATGATGCTGGGCATGCATGGCTGCTCCTCATGTGGAGCTGAACTACAAGTAGAGGATGGTCATGACCTGTGCCCCACCTGCTTAGGCGTTGGCCACCTGCATGAGGCCCTTTCTGACCCCTGCATTAACTGTGCCATCCGGCCTGTGAAGGTGAGGGAAGCGCAGCTAGCCAGAGTTGAGGGCCTGGTTTTCACAGATAATTTACCAGCGTCCGGCATTGTTTGCCAGGATCCACCCAGGACCACCAAAAGAGGCAAAGCCCACAAAAATGGGCTTGACCATATGCCTAAGGTGATGAATGCATAGCAGAGCTAATGCTCTCCCCAGATGAAGCACTGAAGGATGACGCCCGCTGCCCCAGACCTCAGTGCAGGGCCACAGATGAGCTACTGTCACGGGCCTACGACACAGCGGCCCGCATGGCCCGCATTGGAAACTCCCTCTCAGTGCTCATGCTAGCACAGAACAGGATGCTCCAGCCAGAGCACGCAGACCTGGACCTCTGCAACCTGAATGATGCATCTCTTCAAGCATTTGCATTCATGACCAGAGAGCTAGGCAGACTGATGTCCACCCTTGTTGTGACTCGTTGCCAGGTCTGGTTCGCCCAAGTCCCAATGTCCGATGACTCCAGACGGACGCTGAGGAAGCTCCCAGTGGTCCCCGGACTGCTCTTCGGCCCCGTGGCTGAGTGGGCCTTCGAACGTAGAAAACAGCTGAGTCAGGCTACACCGCTGTGGAACCCACTGCCCAGAAACCAGGCATCACAGAGTCGTGGCAGAGGGAAGCCTGACACCTGTGAACCTTACCGTTCTCACTCGGCCCAGCCCTACACACGCCCTTGGTCCTACCACCAGCCTAACACAGGTGCTCGCCAGCCCCAGTCGGCGATGCAGCCAACCCCCCAACACTCAAGAGGCCATGGTCGTGGTCCCTCCACCTACAGGGGATCAAGATCCTTCCTTACCTCGACAACTGGCTCATCTGCGCCTCCTCTCACGAGTGTGCGGCCGAGGTCACAGCGCTGACACTGACCCACGTCACCACACTGGGTCATACCGTGAACAACGAAAAGAGCAACTTTACACCAAGCCAAAAGGTCACCTTTATTGGCATGGCTCTGAACTCCCGCACTATGAGGCATGTATAACACCTCAGCGCGTGGACAGCATTCTTCTTGTTCTGCAACAATTCCAGTTGAATGCATTGGTGAAGGTACGAACGCTCCAACAACTGATGGGCATGCTCACGGCAGCCTCCGCGGTGACACCGATAGGCCTGCTGTCTTTAAGGCCAGGGCTTGCTACTCTGCGGCCGTGGAGGAAGAGAGCCAACCTGACTACAGGTGTCCCTCTCGGATCAATTACGGCAAGGCGGGAAGTAGTGACGACCGACGCTTTACTAACAGGCTGGGGAGCAGTGTGGCAACACAGGTCTGTACAGTGGGAGTGGTGCCCCCGCTGGAGGAAAGAGCACATCAACGTGCTAGAACTTCAGACAGTTTACCTAGCCCTGAATCACTTTCTGCCGGTTCACAAACATGTCCTGATACGATCAGACAATACGTCGACAGTGTTCCACATCAACCATCAAGGGGGAACGAGGTCTGTACAATCCCCACAGGTGGCCCAACAACTCTTGATATGGGCCCTACCACATCTGGGTGAATGGACACTTCACCCACAAGTAGTGAAGATGATATGGCAGCGGTTCGGAACAGCACACATGGACCTGTTCGCCTCAGTGCAATCATCCCACTGCTCCCTCTGGTTCTCTCTGGCAGAGTCCAAGATCCCCCTGGGCATGGACGCCTTAGCTCACACAACAGTATGCTTTCCCTCTGACCCCCCTGATCTTAGCAACGCTGTACAGGGTCTCTCAGGCTCAGCACAGGCTGCAGCTTGTAGCCCCCAGATGGTCAGGGAGACCCTGGTTTCCAACCCTCCTCAGACTTCTGGAGGGAGAGCCATGGCAGCTCCCTCACAGACAGGACCTGCTCTCACAGTTGGACGGCAGGAAATGGCATCCCAGCCCAGACCAACTACAGCCCCAGCCCAGACCAACTACAGCTATGGGTGTGGCCTCTGAAGAGCTCGACCCTCTACTAATCGGCTACGATCCTGCTATTATCGAGACGTTACAGAACGCCAGAGCCCCATCGACTAGGATGATGTATGCTGGTCGCTGGAAGCTGTTTACCGAATGCTGCTCTACCAGGGCGGAGGAACCGGTGTCCTGCTCTGTACCTATTATACAGAGCTTCCTTCAGAAACTTTTGGACTCAGGTCGCTCTGCCTCTACCTTGAAGGTGTATGCCTCAGCTATATCGGCTAACCATTTACACATTGATGGAAAATCGGCAGGGGCCCACTACCTCATCTGCCAATTCTTACAAGTTGTCCGCCGGCTGCATCCCCCCAGGACCGTCCGCACGGCATCCTGGGATCTGCCACTAGTATTGGAGGCTTTGACAAAACCATTTTATCTCTGAAAACGGCTTTCCTCTTTGCTATTTCATCAGTGAAACGTGTGAGTGAGCTCCACACGCTTTCTATGAGCCCGGTCTGCCTAAGATGGAAGGCAGACGACCTAGGCGTGACCTTATGGCCCAATCCAGCCTTTTTGCCTAAGGTTTTATCACCTATTCACATCAATCAAGCCATCGAGCTGGCGGCCTACTGCCCCCCTCCTTTCCAGAATGAGGAGGAGGAGCGAGCAAATCTCCTGTGTCCAGTCCGTTCCCTCAAACGCTATATGCAAGCCTCGGAGCACTACAGGAAGTCAGACCAGCTGTTTCTGTGCTTCGTTGGGAAGTCAAAAGGCCTAGCATTGTCCAAGCAGAGGCTTTCACACTGGGTTATGGATGTCATCACTCAGGCCTACAAGGATGTAGGGCTCCCTGTCCCAGAAGGTTTGATATGTCACTCGACCAGAAGTGTAGCCACATCCTGGGCTGTGCTGAGAGGTGTCCCCCTGAATGAGATGTGTACAGCTGCTACCTGGTCGTCGCCCTGCATGTTCTCAAGATTTTACAAGGTCAATGTCGCATCCTGCCACACCATGGACTCTGCCATTCTTCCAGTGGCACTGGCGCATTAATCAGAGGTTAGTAGTGCTATTCCTCGTGACCTTGTTGGTATCAGTCATCCATACTTTCAACCGTACTGACGGTTGAAAGGTATGAAGGAGAGCGGAAGTTACGAATGTAACTATGGTTCTACGAATACCTGGAAGATCATCAGTACTTTCCTGTCACTCTGAATCTTTTGGGCGAGAGGATTCTTTGAGACAGTGCGTGGTCTGACATACGGTTTTATATGAACCGCGGGGGCACGTCCTACCACGCTGTCACATCACTTTGTTGTTATTATTACTCGACCTGCGCAGAGCACGAGGGATATAATCCAACCGTACTGACGGTCTTCCAGGTATTCGTAGAACCATAGTTACGTTCGGAACTTCCGATATCTAGTCAGTTGCATTTAACCCAACCCCTCTGAATGAGAGCGGTGCGGAGGGCTGTCTTAAATTACGTCCACCGTTATCAGTGCCCACGGAGCAGTTGTTGTGGGGGTTAACTGCCTTGCTCAAGGGCAGAACAGCAGATTTTTCCACCTTGTCGGCTCGGGGATTCAAACAAGCAACCTTTCGGTTACTGTCCCAAAGCTCTAACCGCTAGGCTGCCTGCCTCTCAGATGGGCCTTACAGATGGTGTATGTATGGGGGACATAGGAAGGGTTAGTCATTCAAAAATCATGTCAACCCCTATTTCACACAGAGTCCATTTAACTTATTATGAGATGTGTTAAGCCAAATTTTACTCCTTACTTAATTTAGGATTGCCTAAACAAAGGGGAAACTACTATATTTTAGTTATGATTTTGTTATTTATCTTTAAAATAATATAATTTTTCTTCCACTTTGACATTACAAAGTATTTTGTGTAATTGTTGACAAAAAATGACAATTCAATCACATAAATAGCTTACATTTCTAAACAGTAAAACAGCTATGTATGAAAGTACCCTCAAATAAAAGGTGACATTCTGTACTGTCGCTTCATATGAAACATTTGATCTCAAATCTAAAATGCTGGAGTATAGAGACAAATTAAAGGTTTTAGCTTCACTGTCCAAATAAATACGAAGGGGAGTGTATACCATTTTTTAAAACAGACGATATAGGTAGAGAGGTGAGTTGAGAGTGAAACAGAGAGGGGTGAAGGCACACGAGGACAGCTAGAGGAGGAGAGTAGATAGTCGGTGGGAGTAATCAGTGTGTAGAGATGGTAGTGACCTCTCTCTCAGTGAGCAGAGAGACCTGTGTGTTACAGCACAGCTTTGATGTCTCCTTCACACAGGAACACACAGATTAGGACAAGTGCGGAGAGGGATGAGAGCCAGGGAAGAAAGAGAAATATGGAATATTACTCTGGCTACCCTTTTGATACACACTGCCTTTATCTGTGTGTCGAGATCTTTGTGTGTGTGTGTGTGTGTGTGAGTGTGCATGCGCGCCTAGTGATGTAGAAGATTGTGTAGATGTGCATGTCTTAATATTCAGGACCTTTCTTTTCCTTTGAGCGTCCTACAGTAACCCTCTCTGTGTATCCATCACAGGCCTCCCCTCCCTTCCCATCTTCTCCTCCTCTATGTCCAGACTAAGGGCCCAGTAGCAGTGTAATGGTCCTGTACATGTTAGTATGGTAGTAAAACTGGCCCTTATGTCACAGACAGCCAGGAGGGACCTATTACACATGACAGGCCTGATCAACAGACACACACACACACACACAGTGTGATGGCGAGAGAGAGAGCTATTCCCCCTGACAAGGCTGGTCAAGAGGCCCAGACCAAGCCAAGCATTATTAAATATTGACTCATGTTGTGATTTATGTAGAGCTGTAGGAAGAAAGCTCTTTTCAATCACTCTCTATTCCTCACTGCTGAAAATCAGCCATCACTCTCTCTCTGTCGGGAAATATAGCACATGTCCACGGCAGCCTTTTACTCATGAGAGAGGGAGTGAGAGGGAGAGAGAGAGAGAGAGAGAGAGAGAGAAGAGAGAGAGAGAGAGAGAGAGAGAGAGAGAGAGAGAGATATAGATAAGTAGATGGAGAGAGCGAAGGAGAGAGAGAAAGGAGAGAGAGAAAGAGAGTGAGGAAATGCAGAAGAAAACACACTTGCCGTTAATAAAACTGAGACGGATGCTTTCATGTTAGCGTTTCATTTTACAAACTGCCAACAGCAGACTAGGTAAATTGGAAGCAATTATAAGATTTAGAAAGCGGACCAGGGCCGGGGAGT